TTCTTACTATTTCTGTGGCATCCTTGCTCCTAGCTGTAGAGGTTGGCCATAAAGTAGATGCCAGTGTTTCAACACCTGTGTCATTTGAATTTACTTGGGGCAGGCTGAGTAGGTCCACGGCTTTTTTGAAGCAGTAGTTACCTTTCCTCGGCAGGGCTGTTACCAGGCTCCAAATGTTCCCTTTCCTGGTAACCCAGACAAGACTTCAAGGAATTCAGAACTTTAAGCCATCTGGATCCTCCTGAGATTTCATCTCTCTGTGGGATTGTGGAGCTGGAGAAGAGGCAGGAGAGAGCACAATTCTTGAAGATACTCTAGAGGAAAGTACTTATGGTTGCAGTTTTCATTCATCTCTTCAGCATGAAACCAAAAAATCCTGTAAGAACTCTTTCCACTCCCCAGAGTCTTAATAAGTATTGTTTGTTGAAGAAATAAATATGAACAAAAAAATCAGTAAAAATACTTTCCTGAAAACAAGGATAATTTTTTCATTGGTGTTGTTTTTTTTTTGTTGGTGTTGGTTTTTTTTTTTTTTTTTTAGTTTTTGGCTGCACTTCTGTGTGTGTGATAACATCAGAACATAGACATTCAGTTGCTGGCAGGTAGTAGTCCAGCAGCATTCCTCTTTGCAGGGTTTCCTGAAGGAAGATTCTTTTAAGAAACTTAAATTGGCTTGGATACCTGCTGACTTGGCTTTTTCCCCCCCTCTCATTCTTTAAAGCTTCTACTCTTTTACTCCCTAAAAGCCATTTTTCTGCCTTCCAGTCAGTGCATTGGACCCCATTGCTTCCCTTTTTCTCACCAGCATTCCCTCATCTTTGTATTTGCTCTTGTACAGTTCCTCATTCCACAAATCTTTTCTAACATCACTGTGCCTTCATCATCTCCCTCAGTGTCTCTATCCTCCAGCCTCTGCATATTCTCTCTGTCCACCTGGCTGCTTCTTTTGAATGATCTGTTCTTTGCCCTTCTGCAGGTTCTTCTTCCCCCTTTTTACCTAAATTACTGAACATGACCCTGCTTTAAGATAATCAGAAATAACGGGAGATGTTTAGGTTACCTAACTCTGTCTGTTTAGGGCATAAGAAATAGTGCTGATTTTTGGCTCAAGGTAGTCTATTGTCACGCAGTGACAGGCAAAACTTGAAAAACTCCAGTATCTTCTTTTTGTCTGGACACCATGGGAAAATATCCTCACAGAAGATCACAAAACTTTCAGTAATATTTTGTTTGGCCTCTTGACAGAAGCTGCACGTGCTGTGGCATTGAGAACTGAGAACCTAACTGAAATAAATCCTCTGTTTATATTTACCAGCAGTGCTGCGGGGAGACATAGCTTCCTTTCTTACCCCCTTTCAGAGCTCTTCTGCCCCAGTGTTGCCATGGCCCTGTTTGTGGTCAGTTCTCAGGTAGTTTGAGGCACAAGAAAATCAGAGCTGACTCATAAAAGAGGAGCATGATTAATTTACAATTTTGTATGAACTGTTTGGAGTAGTCATAAATGTCCCATTTAATGGAAGTGCTGGAATTTTTCTTTTCAGCAGGGTACACCACATATTTCTGCTTCAACAGAGATTGCAATAGAAGCCCATGACAATACAGGATGAAGACTTGCAAAAATGTTTCTTCATGTAATTTATGGCATTTTCTAAAATGCTTTCTTGTTTTTTCTCCCTTAGAGACATGTGAAGAAACTGACTAATCATTCAGACACAGAGATGTGAAATATTGCATCAATAAGATTTTTTCATGCTTTTTTTTCCTAAACCAAAAAGCATTATCTATAAAATATGAGGCAAAGTTACCCAACTGAAAACATTTTCTTGGAAGTAACTCAGAGCACCAATAATTGTGATTAATGTGGCCTGCAAGCTCCTGTTGACAATATCTTGACAAAGAATCAAACAAACAAGAAATGTGTTGGCTTTTCACTCAGCTTCTATCCTCCAGATATTCGTAACTTCACATGCAGAAAATGTAAATACTTTTGGCTGTAGAGTAGCAATGTTAATAATGTTAACATTTTAAGCTATTTTCATAATGCTCCATTTATTCAAATTAATTTTATGTAAATTATTTTGCAATTTTTGTATTTGTTTTCACTTGTTGTAACAAAAGACAACAGTGTGTGTCCTAATGTAAGACTAATTGCATTCCTTGCCATTTCCTTTGGAATTTTTTGTTCAAGCATTACAACTTCTCCATTTTTCAGTTAGCGTCATTTTTTTCTTCATCTGTTTTGGCACATTTCAAACCTAAGTGTGTTAATTCCTTCCCTGACTGTATATGTATTTTGGACATCTGTCTTCCATTCTCTTATGTTTGTGCAGAGGTAAATAATTAATTTCCCTTTTGTTGTAAATGTTCTATTTTTCTTAAATAATATTTTCAGTCTGTGGAAGAACAGGAGTGCTGTTTCTCTTGAGAATGCTTTCTCTGCAAGACAATGAACAGTGGTATCCCCGAGAGATGCTGCAGTGTTGTGCAGAGTTCTTTTCAACTAATATCTTTTCATTTACGACCAGCTTTCTGAGCAAACACCTGCTAGAAAGTGCTTGGAGGAAATTCCATGGAGATTTCAGATTTTGCTTATTGAAATCATGCTGTTACTACCTTTTTGGGCACGCTCTTTTAAATGAGAAATATGATTCCTTACTGAAACTTACAATCTTCTTTCCTGTCTCCTGCTCCCTCCTGGTTCCATGAGTAAGTTTTTTCAGAATACTGTATGTCTGTCTCCTTGGGTTGTTCGGCATAGCCCTGAGCCTGATCTGATCTTCTAAGAAGAGGTGCTTTAAAATTGAGAATCCTCAGCTCTTGAGTGGATTTGGCCTCCAGGGCTAACACATGTTCATCTCCCTTGTACTCCTCCTTTTGCCCTAGTGTAAAAGCCTGATGAAAATTGCCTTTGTACCAAAATCCTTTTTACCTCTAGAGGCCAGACAGTCCCCATTTTGGTTGAAAGACTTGGGGACCTTGAAGGCAAAGGTGTTATTAGAGAGCCTAAATGGAAGGATGGTGATATTAAATGCAGTTCTTTCAGACACTGAGTTGACTTTTTTAGTTCAGTGAGCCAAGGAATCTGAGGCAAGGTTATTTTCTTGCATACTTAGGGGAAAGCCTTGAAATAGGAGAGTCTTCATGGTGGCTTTTAGGGAACACATTATGTTTTCCTCTCAGAATATGGTGGAAATCTGTAATTCAAGTGCCTGTGGTGAGAGGCAACAATGATAATACCAGGTAAGCAAAACAGAACATTCTGTCTCTTAGAGAGCTCAGAAAAATGGGAAATGTGAAGTGCATTGATCATTTGAAAAAGTACAAGTAGCATCTCTTCAGATGCATTTTTTTATTATCCTCAGCCACTCCATGTTTTTACTGCTGATTTTGTCAAAAAACCCAAACAAGTCTTGTGTCAAAGGGGATTTGTAATGAGATATATACAGGTAGATTGTCCAAGGTTTATCGTACTGCCATCAAGTATTGAATGTCCTTAGTTGGTTTCAATGGAACATCCATGCACATGCATTGTATTTAATAAATGCCAAGAAAAAAAGAAACTAAAAAAGAAAATTGTTATTTTCACATGAAGTACAAAAATGAAGTCTTGAAAAACATGTGTGAGTTATTTAGGATAAGAGTCCAAGGATGATGCTAAGACCCCTCTGGTATTTCCAACAGGGGTACTTTCAGAGGACGTAGTAGTATGGATCTTTTGGTAGGGGGGAGGTTCCAGCATGCCTGAGTAATCAAGCTGCTCTGTCCATCAGGAATTCTCTCTCCTAAGATGCACCCAGCAGTACCACTTTGGAATTTCATTGTTCCCAGGGCAAACTCTTCCCTTGGCTCTCATAGTGAGGAAAAAGTAACTGGAAAACTACCGGAGTAGTTCAGTGCTGACTTTTTACGTGGATGGACTCTGGATTTCTCTAGGTCTTGGGGCTTTATTAATTATTTTTCCACCAAAGTGGTTCTGTGCTACACTAAAGATATTCATTTAGCAGCATGCAGCAATGTAGATCAATTTGCATGGTCAGTTGATATTACCAAGTTCAGATGTTTTTATGAAGAACTAGAAGGCAGTCAGAAACAGCAGAAATACTTTTTTGTCCTTCTTGCTGTAGTTACATATTATTTTGGATATGGACACATCTTCATCTTTCCTAGATCAATGGAGAGAGATGATTTTGAGTAACTTGTGCCTTTAGTTTCTGGGCTGTTTTTTGTTCAGGGGTAAATATAAAGGATTGTGCATCACTTGGAAATTGTTTTCTGTGTGTACCTATATTCACTTTCCTAATTAGCTGATACCATAAGACTTGTGCTGGAAACTTCAAAGACCCCTAGTTACTCCTTATAGTTAGGGAAAAGAAATTACTTAAGCTAAATGGTGTAAAATATCTGCAAAATGTAAACATTAATCCTTGTTTTCCAGGAGTATGTGCCTTTTAATGTGAATGTGAAGTTTCAGCCATAGCTCTACTTGCATGTTCCCAGAGTTGAGGAGTAGAACTAATCCAACTGTTTCTTTTAATCTTTTAACCCTGACCTGATTCAGCATGTTTGGTTTTGATTCAGAGGCTGAAATTTTTGATAGATGTATGTTATAATGCTCATTACTAAAAGATACTATAATTGACTGTAGAAACAGAAGTATTATGTTGTTGTTGTAATGTACCTAGTTTGGATTCACTCCAGACCTTTGCCCAAAGTGAAGGAAATTCTGATGCAGGACTTTGTTCAGTTCCTTTCCCCTTTGCCTTTTTTCCCCTCTTCCCCAGTTGGCGTCGTATGTAAATATTTGTTTTTAAAAGGAAAATCAAAAAACCAATTGACAATAATGGGAGACTGAAGACTTCCTTGAAAGAACTCTATGGGGAATGATGGGTCAGCTCAGAAAGCTGTTCTCAGAAGCAAAATTGAATGTGCAGTTCAGCAGTTGAGCCACACTGTGTCACCATTGGACTTCACATCCTTCCACTCTATCTTTCTCATTATAGGTGAAAATATTTACAAAGCCAGAGAAGAGGGGTCTGAAATGTGGGGGGCAGCTGAAGTGCAAGAAGATGAAGATACTCTTGTGGAAGTTCCACTGGACCAGGTAGTGATCAAGCTTTAAATAAATAGCTTTGCCTTTTTTTTTTTTTTTTAATTACAGATTGTGTGTTGTTTCTCTTTCCTCAATTTCTTTCAAGTGTACAGCATAATTCTGCAGAGATGACTGTAAGCAATACTATCAAGCTTTAAATAAATAGCTTTGCCTTTTTTTTTTTTTTTTTAATTACAGATTGTGTGTTTCTCTTTCCTCAATTTCTTTCACGTGTACAGCATAATTCTGCGGAGATGACTGTAAGCAATACTGCTTCTTTTATGGCAGCTTTATCAAATCTCCCTTTCTGTGTTAATATGTCAAATGTCAGTTACCTTTTCATCAGCTTCAGAACTGCTCTGAGAGTTCTTACAGAGCCTTAGAGAATCAGGACTCTCTACTGTTACATGCTACCAAATAGCTTCACGTGAATAGCAGTCTCTTTATACTGCAGTAGAGCAGTATTCCTCCAGTCCTGCATCACAACAGGTGCAGATTTCTCTGATTTTTGTTAAAGCTGAGAGCAATTTGTTCTGTTGGAGCAACACAGTGCTTCGTTGGCCAATTTTTTAATCCTGAGATTTATGTGCAATAAATAGGTCTTGATAACTAAATACAAGATTATATCTCCCTTTTTGTACTTTGATTTGCACTCCTGTGGACTGAAATAATACAAGGAATAGGCAAATGGAACCTAACAGTAACAGCAGTTACTGTCCTTTATCTTGCTTTCAGTATAGACTTCTGTAGTTGTAGGAGAAACTGGAAGTGTGGTAAGTATGGGGAAGAAAATATCCTTCAATGAGGGTAGGGACTGGATTCATGGGCTAAAAGGTAGGTGAAAAACCAGCTGGTTTGGTGAGATTTAAAAAGTCAGCTGGTTGAGATTTAACTGGCACCTATTTACAGATGGTGGTCCTCATGGTTTGATACTGGATCTGAGACATTCTAATATGTTCGTGGGTCACACAGATCATTGCAGGGGACACAGCCTTATTCAGGCCCAGCTGTCATTATCAGGTGAATGCAGGGCTGTCTTTTAGAGCAATCTCAACAGCTTGAAGGAAAAGGATGGCTTGAGCCTCATAAAGTTCCACAGGAAAGAGAGGTACAAGGTTGGGCACCTATAGTGCAGTTAACTCTCAGTGTAGTCTTGAGACAGGCGGGCTAGAAAGGAGCTGCAGAAAGGCCATGCAGCTCCTGTGGCTGGCAAGCTGAGTTGGTACTCCCTGTGTGGTTGAGGTGGACTGTGCAGGCTGGGCTAGTAAAAGCACAGCCAGCACATCAAGGTCACTGATTATCCTTCTTGACTCATCTCTGAGGTTGCATCTAGAGTATTTGTCCAGCTTTGAGTCCTTCTCAGCAGAAGAGAGATACTTAGAAACAGGAGAAAGTTCAGCACAGCCACAAACTATAAAGTTTACAGGCTAAAGATTATTACACTATTTAATTGCTTACTAAATAGTGCTTACTGTCTAGTTGGCTGATTTTTTTCAATTTATTTGTATTGTGTAGAAGAATACTAGACATATATACCTTTAGCTTGTGTTCTGCTTTTAAACACAATATCTGAGGGGAAATAGTTGTTGTATGAACTTATTAGCCACTTTGAAGACTAACACCATACCATCTGAAAAAAAATACAGATTTTTATTATTTTAGGCTCCTGTTGCTAATGCGGACCTTTCTCATTATTTATTCACTTCATTGGGAAGGAATTTTACTTAGATATTTTATAGGCATTGTTCTTGAAGACACATGAATCAGGACTGTCTTGGTCCTTGCAGAAGGAATGCTACAGCTGTGTCTTCTCACAGCACATACCTGCCCCAGCCTCAGAGTCTTATATGATGAACACCATTGGGCTCATCAGTCCTGTTAATTGTGGTTGTCCTGGTGAGGTGTAGTGACAATTAGGATGTGTTGTATTATATTGATAGCACTGACATTGGGGAAGAACATGCTGGCTGTTGTCTTAATCTTTGTTTCTTATGGCATCCTGAAGCACATCCTACTCTGTTCTTGACAGTGTAGTAATCAAATTTAGAAATTATTAGCCTGTTTATTGGCCTCTGGAAGTGTGTAAAGAATTCCTGTGAGTAGTGTAGAACATTTGGCTGTGTCATTTGGGTTGTCAGGCCTTAGTTTTTAGGCTGACTGCAATTCATACAAAATCCAATCCTGGAGACAGCTGCCTTACTTCTCCACAGAGATCCTACACAGGCAGTAGCTCTGTGTGTTTCCCTAGTTTGCCTCTGCCTGCGGGTGGTGACCATCCCTAGGGAGGGGAAAAACTCTCTACTACCACTTGTCTGTTTGCAGTGGAACTATTCACACAGTTGCCAGTGAGCATCAGATGTGCTGGCAAGCTTGCAATGCTAGGAACTTGCTGAATACCTCTAAGCTCCTGTACCAAGGTCCATTCATCATGTTCAGGTGGAAATATTTTTTACTTACTACCAACAGCTTTTGCTATCTGGACAAGCAACTGCAGGCAGTTTTATTTGATGGGGAAAAATATTAAAAAATCAGTCATGCACACTATGAATAATCTGATTTTCATGTTTCCATAAAAGCCAAGGAAAGCACCAAAATTTATTGCAAAACAAGCCATGGTTTATATATAATGTTAAAATTTCATGTATAGTTTCCTTGGTAATCTCACAAGAAGCCATGTCTTTCAGAGTATCACTGAGTAGTTTTTATTCCCAGATAACTAAAGTCACACTAACCTTAGAAGCATTTAGCATTTTGCATGTTCAGGTTCATATTAATGACCATTTAAAATTGTTTTAAATTCTGTGATGTAAAGCTTTTTAGCTTTTTCTTATCTACACTGCAGTGTCTGTTATTGCTAGAAATATGGGAAAGGACAGCCAGCCAGGACTTGACTATCTTGCATAAAGCATAAATATTTACAAGCCAGCTTTCACTAGAATGCTGACACTTCTGATAGGCTATCATTTCCATCAGCCACATAAATGAGGTGGTGAAGATAGAGCTTCATATTTTTTTTATTTTTATGCACCTTCTCTGTCTTGCTGTTTGAAATACACAGTTGAACAAATGCCAGATTAGCCATTAACTAAACCTAGCGTTATACTGGCTAGGCTCTTGCTTATGTCCTGTTCTGTAAAATGCTGTCTGCCAGCTGAAAACACATTAAAAGAACAGGCTTTGCTTTACTCCAGACTAGCTGACAGTTGTAATTGAACATCAAGGAAGAAAAAAAGAATATTTTGCCTTAAACCAAACCAGACCTTTCTGTTCTATATTCTTTACCAAGATTTCAGCTCCCAAATACAGAATGATTAGTTTCTTCTTTTGACATGCAGGCTTACTTCAAGTTGGTTGTTTGCATCACTGTGTCAACATTCATGGGGACTGATGACAGACTATGAAACCAGTTGTGCAAATAGCAAGGGAACAAGGTGGTTTGTGACAGGGAGGCAGCAAAGCAATAGGAGTTTTTTATTTGAGATAGTAATTGTGTGTTACTTTGAATTTGCTGCTAATAATGCAAGTATATTCAAAGCAACTTAGAGAGAAAAATTTCTAACTTTTAAAGCTTTCAGAAATGTCTACTCTTCTTCTTTCATTCTATATAGGTTCTAAAATACAAAAGCAGCAGTTTCTAGTGATAATACTGAAATAACACTGCAAGTTTGAACTTGTTTATCCATTTCCATGTCTTCTCCCATGCTGAGCCCTTGGGAGGTGGAGTAAGCAGGAGAGTTATGAGATCTGAAGTTATCCAGTGCATAACCCCATAAGGAATTCAGGCGTGTTGTTGTGCCAGCCTGCTTTGCCATGGGGTATGTGATACTTGCTATTAAGATGTGATGTAGAAAGAGACTCCATTTGGGTTTTGGTTTTGGTTTGTTCTTTGGATTATTTTCTCCCTCCAGATTTATCATCCCCATCTGCTTCTCTCCGTCTGTATTTATTTGTAAAAATTAGCTGGTGATAAATTTATCTAACAGGCACTGGTTTGGAGTTTTTCTGTAGATGTTAATATTCTTGATTCTTTCACTATCCATTTGCTTTCCACTTTTACAGACATGTCCACTGATTAATGCAGTCCTCCACTCATTATTTTCCATTTCCTGCTCTGTGATGTGATGTGAGATTGTCTATCTCCCCTAGGTGAGCTGGAGCTGGAGTATATCATCAGTAGCAGAAAATTTGCACCTTTCATTTGCAGTTTTCATTATGGAGTACACATTTTGCTTTAGAGACCCAAGATTCACCTCAGTGAGCAGAATAAACTGTTTATCTTGCCCATGGCTGAAGGCAAAATGTTAAAGTTTATGTTAATTCAACATTACAACAGGCTGACTTGCTTGAAGAGACATTCTTTCATTAAAAAGGCTACAACTTTTCTCGAGGAAACATTTTGCCCATTGCTGAAGGCAAAATGTTAAAGTTTATGTTAATTCAACATTACAACAGGCTGACTGCTTGAAGAGACATTCTTTCATTAAAAGGGCTACAACTTTTCTTGAGGAAACATTTTACACTACATCAGTAAGAACTTCAAAATGGCATTTGGAAAGAATACATGCAGAACTTATGCTCAGATTTCTCTACGAATGATGCAGCTGTAATTTAAGCCTTATGAATTTTGAGTGCTGACAAGCTAGCAGATAATATTTTCCACTGTATATTCTCCTTACAGCTCTACTGATTTACACTTAATGTTGTTATTTTTTGTCTGTGTTAGATAGGGAAACTCTGATTGGTTCTTTGCAGTTCAGAAGGAGAAGGGAGATCTTTCCTTGGTTTCTGTGGTGCCTTGAGAAGAGTGACCTAGAACAGAGGCTAGACAGAGTTAAAGAATAAAGTAGGTATTTATTAAAAGGCCTTAATGGATACACCTTGGGCAGTAGAAGAGCACCTTCTCAAGGCATCATCTGCATTGGATGACTGTGATTTATGAAGTTGTAGTAGCAATGCCTGATCATGTCTTTAGAAGCCAACAGCTGAAGGGCCTTCACTTCTTCTGAGTGAAG